GGTGGTGCCTTTGGCCACGGCCGTGAAGCCGTCCGGGTCGGGCGCGGCCGCGCCACCGTCCTCCTCCTGGCGCGCGCCGCCGCCGCCCCCGCCCCCCTCCCCGCTGATGGGGACGCGGCGGAAAGGGGCCCAGGGACACGCAAACCAACAGACACAAAATCCAGGTCCTCTGCTGTTCCATGTCTTCGGGGTCCTCACCTTCCCCCCGCCCACCTCCCCATCTTTTCCAACTTTTTCCTGGGAGTCGGCGATGAATTGTGCCTGTATGTTTTTTCCCCTCCGGATCATCGCCGACAGATTGGCCAACGGCCCTCAGGAGCGAGTCCGCACGGTCCTGGGCGGGGTCGGCCGTCAGGGCCCTTTTTGGAACTGGATGGACGGAGGGGGGTCGACGCATGCACCCCGTGAGCCCATCTTCAGGATGCAGCTGTGGGGAGGGTACATTCAACATCGGCGCTGGCATCGTGCTCGGATTCCGCCTGGCACAATCCAATTCCGCACAACCCTGTTCAATCCTGGGCTTCATCTGGGCTAGTCTAGCTTAGAGGCTCCTTGATATGGCTCAGTAGTCCTCCCCTCGCCCGCTGCCATGGCCAGGCAGATGATTGAAACGCCCATGCGGCCAAACGCAGGGATGATGCTCTGGCCAAGCTATTGTAGTATGTGTTCCCCCATGCTGATGATGAGACTTGGCGGGAAATTGGGATGAGGATGAGAAGATGATGATGAGGATGCTGGAGTCGGAGGAGGAGGAGGGGGAGGAGGAGGGGGAGTGAGAAACAACGGAGGATGAGGAAGAAGAAGAAGAAGAAGAAGAAGAGGCGGCCTCTTGAGGCCATTGTGAGGCCCGTTGGGGGCTTCCTGTGAGCTTTTTGGGAGGCCCTAAGGGGTCTGTTTGGGGCCTCCTGGGGCCTCTTGGTGTTCTCCTGGGGCCTTTTGGGTACTTGGGTATCTCTTGGGGGGCCTCTGGGTGCCTCTATGAGACCTCTTGGCCTTCGGAAGCCGTCTGGGAGCCCGCTTTAGTGCCGTCTCGGAGGTCTTTGGGGCCGCTTTGGGGTCCTTTTCGTCTGTCTTGCGGCCCTCTTGGAGGCAATATTGGGGGCCCATGGGCTCGTCTTGGAGCGTCGGATGCCCGAAACGGCGAGAACGTTAAAACGAATGATGCACCTCAGGAGCATAAAAGGATGTTGGCCTCCTGGAGCTCCTCTTGGAGCCCCTTGTGACGTCTAAGAGGTCTCTTGGCCTTCAGAGGCTGTCTTGGTCTTGGGCCCTCCCTGGGCAGTCGTGGATGTCTCTTTGGACGCTTCAGAGCCGTCTTTGGGGTCCCTGGTGCCTTATTCGGGGCCTCCGGGGCTGTCTTGGGGCCCTCTTGGGCAGTTTTGTAGGCCCCTTCGGGGCCTCTTGGGGCGATCTTTTTTGGGGGCCTGTGGGCCCGTCTTGGAGCGTCGGATGCCCGAAAAGGGGGGACGCTAACATTATTGAAACACCTAAGGGCCATAAGAGGATTTTGACCTCTTGGAGGTCCTCTTTGAGCCCTCATGGTGCGTGTTGGGCTCTCCCTGGGCAGTCGTGAATGCCTCGTTGGGCGCTTTAGGGCAGTCTCGGAGGTCTCTGGCGCCGTCTTGGGGGCCTCTTGGGCCGTCTTGGGGTTGTCTGTGGGCCTCTTTGGGGCGTCTTGGGCCGTATCTGGGCGATCTTGGGGGCCGATGGGCTCTTCTTAGAGCGTCGGCTACCCAAGAAGGCGAGAACGCTAAACGCATTGAAACACCCTCAGAAGATCAAATATTCTGGCCTCATGGAGGTCCTCTGGGGGCGTCTGAGGGGACTCTCAGGCCGTCTGGAGGACATCTTGGGCCGTGTTCGGGCCAGCTTGGCCATCTCGGAGGCGTCTTAGGATCATGTTGGAGACCATCCAAAAGCTGCCGTGGGCGGGAGACGCCACGAGCAACAGATTTTCAGTGTAGCCAGCGGGCTGGGCCGAGACCCCACTGGTTAGTTCTTTGAACCAAAACCTTTCCGAAGTCTAGTACGCCGTGCGCCCTTGTGATGAATCACCAGGGGGTGACTGATCTAAGACGCCTAAGGCGCATCACCGCCGCCCCCTGCCTTTGGAACCGCCCATGCGGCCAAACATTGGGCCGACGTCTGGCCAAGCTATTTTACTAAGTGTCCCCCCAGCCGTTGTGGAACCCATTGGGGAACACTGGAGAAATGAAGAGAACGGATAAGGAGAGGGATGAAGATGCGGAGAAAGCAGAAGAGAAAGCTTCCTGAGGCCCTCTTGAGGCCTCCGGAGGGCTTCTTGGGAGCCTTCAAGGGGTGACTAAGGGCCCCCGTAGGGGGTATTCTGGGGCATCTTGGGCCCTCTTTGATACCTTTTGGGGGCCTCTATGTGACCCTTTGACCTTCGGAGGCCGTCTTAGGGGGCCGTCTTGGGGGCCTCTTGGGCTGTGGGCCCCTTGTGGGTCTCTTGGGCTCGTCTTGGAGCGATTTTGGGGGCCTATGGTCCCGTCTTGGAACGTCGGAAGCCAGAATCGGCGAGACCGCTAAATTCATTGAGCAACCAGAGGAATACCAATAATTTGGTCCTCCTGGAGGTCCTCTTGGAGCCCTCTTGTGGCGTGTTGGGGGCCTCTTGGTCTTCAGAAGCCGTCTTGGGCCCTCCCTGGGCAGTCGTGGGTCCGTTTTAGGGCGCTCAAGGGCAGTCTTGGAGGTCTCTGGGGCCGCCTTCGTACCGTCTTGGGGGCCTCTTGGGCCTCTTAGGGCCCTATTGGGCCTCTTGAGCCTCGGGGGGGCCTCTTGGGCCGTCTTAGGGCGATCATGGGCGCCTATGGGCCCGTCTTGGAGCATCGGATGCCCGACAAGGCGCGAATGCTATCAGTGAAACACCTAAGGCACATAACAGGATGTTTGCATTCTGGAGGTCCGCTTGGAGCCCTCATGGTGCGTCCAAGGGGCCTCTTGACCTTCAGAGACCGTATTGGCCCTCCCTGGGCAGTCGTTGATGCCTCCTTGGGCGCTTTGGGGCCGTCTTTGATGTCTCTGCGGCCATCTCGTGGCCGTCTTGGGGGCCGCTTGGGCCGTCTTGCGGGCTTTTTGATGACCTCTTGGGGCGATCTTGGGGGCTTATCTCGTCTTGGAGCGTCGGATGCCCGAAACGGCGGGAACATTATTTTCATTGGAACACCCGATGCAACTACATGATTTGGGCCTCCTGGAGGTCGTATGGGAGTCCTCATGGGGCGTCTGAGGGGCCTCTCGCGCCGCGCCTTCTGGAGGACATCTTCGGATGTCTTAGGGCCATCTTGGTCGTCGCAGAGGCATTTTGTAGACCATCTTGGGCCATCCTGGCCGTCTTGGATGCATCTTGGCCGTCTTGGAGGCCATCCAGGGGCTGCCTTGGGCGGGAACAGCCACGACATGCAGATTTTCAGGGCGGCTGGCGGATTGGGCCGAGATCTCATTGTGAGTTCCCATGACCGGGGGGGCGTCAGATCGAAGATGCCTACGGCGAACCCCCCTGCCTTGTTGGGCGCGCCGATGTGGCTGAGCTTTGTGCCCAGAGCTTGGACAAGCTGTCGGACCATGTGTTCCCCGAGCCGTTGTGGAAACGCCTGGGGGAATTCTTTGCAGACAATGAGGGCGAGGAAGAGAGGGCGGACAACTTCAACGGACTTAAACCTCAGGGCCGTTTTGGAGGCCATCTTGGGCGTCTCGGATGCTTCTTGGGCTGTCTTGGGGCTTCCCGGGCCGTCATGCTCTTGGCGCGGAAGGCTCGGTTCGGATTGTCGGTTCGTGTTCCCCTTCTTGGGCACGTTTTTGGGTCTTTCTTGGGCAGTCTTGGGGGACTCTGGGGCTGTTTTGGGGCAGTCTTGGGAGCTTCGTGGGCAGCCTTGTAGCGTCTAAAGCTCGAAAAACCAAGAACCCAATAACAAACATTAAACAACCATAGGAACAACACACAACACTGCTGTTTGCCTCTCGGAGCCACCTCGGGGGCCTTCTTTGGCCATCTGAGGGCCTCCTGAGAACACATCTTGGGGCGGGAGGCTCGACTTGTCGGTTCGTGTTCCCCCTCTTGGGCACGTCTTGGGCCGTCTGGGGGGCCTCTGAGGCCATCTTGGGGCAGTTTTGGGAGCCTCTTGGGCAGTCTTGTGGCGTCGGAAGCTTGAAACAGCGAGAACCCAACAAACGCATTAAACAGCCACAGGAAGCAACACATTGATGTTTCGGAGCCCTCTCGGGGGCCTCTTTTGGCGGTGTGAGGGCCTCCTGAGACCACCTCTTGGGGCGGAATGCTCGAATAGTCCGTTCGTGTTCCCCCTCTTTGTCCTTCCTTTGAGCCTTCTCTTGGGCAGCCTTGGGCGCCTCTCAGGACGTCTTGGAGCCCTCTGTCTTGGGGGCCTCCTGGGCCGTCTTGGAGCAGTCTTGGGGGCGTCGTGGGTCGTCTTGGGACATCCGAAGCTCGCAAAGGCCAGAACCCTGAAAACATTGAAAATCAGAAGGACAATCAATGGTGCTTGCCTCTCGAGACCCTCTTGGGAAGGCTCTTGGGGCTCTCTTGGGACGCATCGAAGGCCAACTGGGCCGTCTTGAAGCCTTCTTCGGCCGCCTTGAGGCCAAAGTGGCCCGTCTTGGATACATACTGCACCGTCTTGGAGGCATCGGGGCCTCGCGAACGCGAATCCGTCACATGTTGCTAGGAGTTGTAGCCTCGAGAAGTGGGGCATACGAACGGGTGCGAACGGAAGAGGGGGGTGGTCTGTAGAACGTCGCAGAACCCTATCAGAGAGCACCTGGCATTCTAGCACGCCCCACCGTGCCAGGGGACACGGTGGCGGATCTAATATCATCTACCCATCCTCCTCCCATCCTCTCCCCCCCCCCTCATCCCTCCAACCATGATGTTCCAACCCCTCCTCCTCGTTTTCCTCATCCTTTTCCTCCTGTCGCTCACTCTTAGTCGTCTCTCCCTTCCCGCCGGCCGCTGGCTGCCGCAGGCTCCGTCGCCCCCGGCCAGCTCCAGGGGTCGATCCAAGCGGGCCAACGGCCAGGCGCCCCCCAATGCCGCAGGGGGTCCGGACGGAGGCGCGCGCCACGAAGAGGAGGGTGTCCTCGGAGGGATCGCTCGTGGTTCGGTCGATTCGGCTGCGTCGCAGTCGGCCGCGATCAGTTCCATTCGGTTCGGTCGGTGGCGTCGTCGACGCGGCGTTGCGCTGCGCCCTTCTGGGCTGGTCAGCGGCCAGTTCGGCCTCGGTCGGTATTTGTTGCTTCGCTGCTGGTTCGGTCGGTTTTCGGTCGTGCTGCAGCCGCGGCGGTCTCGGTCCTGGGGGAAGCGGGAGTCGAGGTGTTGAAGTACTATTCGTCCGCGTCTCTATACTTACGCGCGCGCACGCGATTTGTGTTATCCAAAACCCGGATAGCGAGGCGACAGAAGTTTTTGGCAGATCCTTCGAAGGAGCTTGAGGGAAGCGGGGGTGGAGGTGTTGGGGCATTAGTCGCCCGTGTCTCTATACTTACACGCGCGCGCGTGATGTGCAGGGTCAGGGCCCCCACCCCCGTGTCTTTTCGGAGGCGCACGGGCGCGCCACGCCCGCCGCAGCACGCAGCCGCGGCTCTGTCACCTTTGGGCAGTGCCCCCCTGGGGAGGCTGACCAGCGGCTCCTTGGGCATCCGCACGCCTGCGCGCGCGACGTGCCAGGGAAGTAGGCCCCCGCCTTCGGAAAGGCGCAGGGTCTCAGAGGAGGGAAAGGTACCGACACCGCTATCCTTCTCTCGTTTTTTCCTTTTTCGGGCCTTCTGGAAGGCCCTCGTCGCCACAGCTGGACTCGCTTTGAAAATTTGGTCAGAACACACCCCTGGGAGAGGTCTGGGGGTGCAGGGTCGGAGCACCCCACCGCAGCATAGAGTCGGCGGCTCTGGGGGTGATCTGTCATCAGGGGTAACCTAGGGGAGAAAGAGTGGTTCCCGGGAAAAGGGTTAGTACTCCCCGTGAAAGTGGCAAAATACCGATTCTGTTGGTTCTCTGGGTTAGACCCTTACAGGTTTCCCCCCAAAGCACACACACCAAACAACAAACCTCAAACCCCAACCCCCAAACACCGAACACCGAATACCAAACACCAAACACCAAACCCCAAGCCCCAAACACCTAACCCCAAACACCAAACACCAAACACCAAACACCAAACACCAAATCCCAAACCCCAAACCCCAAGCCCCAAACACCAAACCCGAAACACCAAACACAAAACCCCAAACCCCAAACACGAAACACCGAACACCAAACTCCAAACCCCACACACCAGACACCAAACCCCAAACACCAGAACACTAATACCACGTTCATCCCTCTTGCGCCTCCAACCCCACACACCAAACACCAAACACCAGACACCAGGGCACTCTTGGGCGCCAGTTGAGCCGTTTGGGGGCCACCTTGGGTGGCCTCTCGCCCAGTCTAAGGGGCGATCTGTTGGGCCTCTTGGGCGCTGTTAGGGCCGATACGGCGAACATGCTAAACAGCTGCTATTACCCAAGGAGCTGGGAGTCCTGCGACTACTACGACTACTTTTACTAGTCCGATTAATAGTATTACGACGACAATTCGTAGTATTATTGTTACTCTATTATTGTTATTACTAGTACTACGATTACGACTGCTACTACGATTACGGTTACGATTATTATTGTTACTACTACTACTACTACGACTACTACTACTACTACTACTGCTACTCCTACTACTACGACTACTACCACTTCTACTACTACGACTACTATTACTACTACTACTACTACTACTACTGCTACTACTACTACTACTACGACTACTACTACTACTACTATTACTACTACTACTACTACTACCACTACTATCACTACTACTAGTACAGCTACTACCACTGCTACTACCACTACTACGACCACTACCACTACCACTACCACTACTACTACTACTACTATTACTACTACTATTACTGCTACTACTACTACTACTATTACTACTACTACTACTACCACTACTATTACTACTACTAGTACAGCTACTACCACTACTACTACTACTACTACTACTACTACTACTGCTATGGCTACTACTACTACTACTGCTGCTACTACTACTACGACTACTACTACTACACATACACATGCTACTACTACGACTACTGCTGTTACGATTATTGCCACGACGAATAATTCTCAATACGACTAGGAGTACGGCTACTACCATTACTATTACGACTACGACTACTACCATCATTGGTATGATTAATATAATTACTACCACTACTACTATTACCACTAGTAGTACTACTGCTGCTACTACTGTTTCTACTACAACTACGGTGACTACTACTAAGTAGTACTACTACCACTACTATCGCTATGTCAACGACTACTCCAGCGATTAGTTTTCATACACGATTAGGACTAATATTTCTACTACTAGAGCTGTTGCCACTGCGAGTTTTACGGCTACTGCTATTACTACTACTACTAGTATTATTTTTAGTGCCAGTACGACTACTATTACGACTACTACTACTACTACTACTACTACTACTACTACTACTACTACTACTACTACTACTACTAGTACTGCTACCACTACTACTACTACTACTACTAGTAGTACTGCTACCACTACTACTAAGACTATTGCTACTACTGGGGCTGCTATCACCACCAATACTACTTCAGTAATGTTATTATTACTGGCACTATTATAATGATCGCTATTCCTACAGCTACTATTACTACTACCACTACTACCACGAATACTACTACTACTACTACTACTACTACGACTACTACTACTACTACTACTACGGTTACTACTATTACTGCTACTACACGTACGGCTACTACTACTACTACTACTACGACTACTGCTACTACTACTACTACTACTACGACTATGCATACTATTACTACTACTTCTACTACTAGTACTACTACTACCACCTCCACCACTACTACTACTACTACTACTACTGCTACTACTACTACTACTACTACTACTACTACTACTACCACTACTACCACTACTACTACTACTACTACTACTACTACTACTACTATTACTACTACTACTACTACTACTACTACTACTACTACTACTACTCTACTACTGCTACTGCTACTACTACTACTACTACTACTACTACTACTACTACTACTCTACTACTGCTACTACTGGGGCTACTACCCCCACCACTATGAATTCATTACTGGTACTATTACTGGCATTAGCGTTAGCATTCTTACTTCTACTACTACAGCTACTACTACTACTACCACTACTACTACTACTACTACCACGACTACGACGACTACTACTACTACTACTACCACTACGACGACGACTATTACGACGAGTACTACTACTACTACCACTACTACTTCGACAACGACTACTACTAGTTCTATTACTACTACAACGACGACGACTACTACTACTACTACTACTACTACCACTACCACTACCACTACCACTACCACTACCACTATTATTACTACTACTACTATTACTACTACTACTACTACCACTACTACGACTACTACTACTACTACTACTACTACTACTATTACTACTATTTCTATTTCTAATATTTCTACTGTTGCTGCTACTACTAGTACTACTACTACCACCACTACCACTACCACTACCACTACCACTGCCACTACCACTACTATTAGTACTACTACTACTTTACTACTACTACTACCACTACTACTACTACTACTACTACTACTACTACTACTACTGCTACTACTACTACTACTACTACTACTACTACTACTACTACTAGTACGACGACGACGACGACTACTACTACTACTACTACTACGCTACTACTACTACTACTACTACTACTACTACTACTACTACTACTACTACTACTACTACTACTACTACTACTACTACTACTACTACTACTACTACTACTACTACTACTACTACTACTACTACTACTACTACTACTACTACTACTACTACTACTACTACTACTACTACTACTACTACTACTACTACTACTATTGCTATTTCTACTACTACTACTACTACTACTACTACTACTACTACTGCTGCTACAACCATAACCACTGGTACTACCACGACTCCTTCTATTTGTTCCCAGCCGTCCTGTGGTGTTGGGTCCTCGTTTTGGAGAGGCAGCGCCCCGCGTTCACTCCTCCCGCTGCCCCCTCCCCATCATCGCCCGTCCGCGCCTCTCCTCCCGTCCCTGCCTCGGTTCTCCGCATGTCCATGCCGCCACACCCCCCACGCGCTTCGTGGCCCCATAAGGGAGCACCACCGAAGGCCACAGTGGCAGGGTCCGCATGGCACCGCCGCCCCATTTCGGCACACCCCTCACCCGGTCCGTGGCCCCCCATACGGAGCTCCACCAAAGGCCCCATCGGCAGGGTCCGCATGGTACCGCCGCCCCACAGGGAGCTCCGCCGAAGGCCCCAGTGGCAGGGTCCGCATGGCACCGCCGCCACATTTCTGCACACCCCTCACACGGTTTGTGGTCTCATAGGGAGCTCCACCGAAGGCCCCAGTGGCAGGGTCCGCGTGGCACCTCCGCCCCATTTCGGATACCCTCTACACGGTTCGTGGCTCCATAGGGATTCCCACCGGAGGCCCCAGAGGCAGAGTCCGCATGGCACAGCCGCCCCATTTCGGACACCCTCTACACGGTTCGTGGCCCCATATGGAGCTCCACCGAAGGCCCCAGTGGTAGGGGCCGAATGGCACCGCCGTTTCATGTCGGCACACCTTTCACACGGCTCGTGCCCTCCATAGGGACCTCCACCGAAGGCCCAAGGGGCAGGGTCCACATGGCACCGCCTCCCAATTTCGGCACCCCTCACACGGTTCGTGGCCCCACAGGGAGTTCCATCGAAGGCCCCAATGGGCAGGGTCCGCATGGCACCGCCGCCCCATTTTGGCACACCCCTCACACGTGGCCCACAGGGAGCTCAACCGAAGGCCCCAGTGGGAGGGTCCATATGGCGGCGCCGCTCCATGTTGGCACACCCCTCC